ATTTTTAGATATACAATGGAGAAAGAAATTGATAAGAAATTGGAAAGTTTACGTAAATATATACCATTTGTTGACTACGTTATCCACGTGGATAGGGAGAAGTATAAAAAATTCTTAGATATTAAGAGTTGGATCATCAATAAGAAAAGGTACGAAGTTTTGCATTTTGTAATTTTCTTTAACGTTAAAAACCCCCTATATTAAATTATTTCAGAATCCCAATAAGTGATCTTATGAAGATTGAGCAATCGTTCATAGCTCAGTATAAAAATCTATTTCTAAAAGACTTGGTAAGAACAGTACGCTTTCAGAATATTCCCCACTATGACGTCTGTTTTCTTGAAACTTAATATTTTTGGTTAACTTTAGAAAGTGCCGGAGGATATTAGAAAAATATTTGCAGGAAGAGTTGACCATCAATACATGAATCTTTGTTCGGATGACGAGAATGAAGAAACCAGTTCGCCTCAACAAATAACAAAAAGTAGAAGCGATGATGAGTTGGAAAACGTTGATATATTATTTTCAACTTCGTCTAAGCCTCAGGAAAATACAGTGGAAATAGAGCAAGATACAGAGACAACAGGAATCGATTTAAAGGAAGCATTAACAGATACAAACAACAGTAGAAGAGAGAAGCTGTTTACAAGACGTTTGGATATTTCAAGCGAAAAAGTAGAAAAATATGCCGTAAAGCATAAAGTTATGAGGAACAAAAAAAAATCGCTCTCCGTTACGGAAACTATATCATTGGATTCATCTACTAGTGATGATGATTCTGTTCCAGTTATAAGTAGTGGAAAGAGAAGAGAACCAAAACCTGCCAAGTGTGAAAACATTAGCACGACCAAAGATAAGTTGCTAAGTAAACAAGGTTCTGCGGTACCAAATAATACTCAAAAAGAACATCAAGAAGACATCCTTATATCAGCAAATATAAAATATGGCAATAATAAAACTTCTGAAAATATTTCAGATGCGATAAATAGACTTGCTGACAAAAATGAAGTCAATAATAATCAAAGCACAAGTAACAACAGTCTCTCACAATTGCCTAGTGATCTTGAAAGTTTGAGCATGGAGGAATTAACACTTTTATTTAAGTCCTTAAATCAAGGCCATCAATTAGAAAAATTTCTGTCGCATCTGTTGGAAAACTGTCAAAATCAGGAGACATTCGAAGACATTAATGGCGAAAAAGTACATCGTACAAATGTTAGCAATAATGAAAGGCTCTTGGCGAACGTGCCAATGCCTGTGGCAGCCGCAGGAAATACAGGCTTTTCAAACGCTCATTTGCAAGAACATCGATTTTTCAATAGGGCGTCAATAACACTACCACCGCCACCAACGCAACTAAATCCCACTGCATTTCATCAATTTCCGATACAATGTGTAGCAGGCGACACATACCCAGGCAACGTTCCACATGGCAATCAGCCCACTACAACCACTAACGTTCACCACCGTCCCACTTACCCTCCCAATCTTAGTCAACGTGCTGACATTGACATTCCGAGTCCTAGTTATCCAATGCGCCGGAAATTAAACATGAATGATCCACGTATATTAAAACATTTACAAAGAATTCAGAATTCCCCGTTCGCTTCTAATACTCTGCGCGATAAGGCTACAAACTTACAAAGAAGTATACCTCTGTTTCAGTTTCCAACTGATCAAACCGAAAACGCTGCATCTAATTGGCGTGTAAATTATGCGTCTTCAACACATCAATTAGTAGCACATGACAAAGAGCGACAGAGAACTTTAGTTAGCAATTTCATGTTAAAGCGTTCGAATCCAAACGTTTCGAAAACGTACCTAGAGCACAAACGCAGAAAAGCTGAAGAAGAAAGAAAAAACAGAAATCGACTAAATGAAGAAAAGCAACAAAGTGGAGCAGAAAAACAAGAAAAAGAGGCAGTTCCAGCTGCTCAGCAAATTGAAAACAGCGAATTAAGGAACCAAAAAGACCAAATCTTGTCAATACTTCACACACACCTTATAGGCCGTGAAGGCGAAGTGCAGACGTTATGGAGTGAGTATAAAAGAAATTCTGAATCAACAAAGAATGTGGCTGATCAAGCAATATGCGAGTCTCAAACATCGTTAGGCAATTCAAGTGAAACAAGTAGTTCACTTACCAATAAAATTTCCCATTTCCCAGAGTTGGCAAAAGTAAACAATGAAACAACTCAATCTCCTGAGTCATTAACTACCATACCGGCGAATGAAGAAAAGCAATTCCCGAGCCTGATAACTGCTACCAAAACGAACAATGAAACCAAGCAGTCTTCCAATTGCGCAACTATCGTTAAGATTAAAAATAAAACCAAGCAGCGTTCCCATTCCAAAAGTATTGCAGAGGCAAACAATGATAAAATTAATAAGGTTTATAAAACATTACAATGTACAATAAATGGTTACAATCAGTTTGAGGATTATATACCAAAATCATTGAACGGTAAAAGAAGGTCAAGCACGCACGCTCGCGACTTTATCTCAAAACAATTGAATGATGGTGAGTCGTTGATGGATTGCGAAACAAACGCAAATAGTAAAAATAACCGGCAGCGTGAATCCAACGTTAAGAGGACTCGTTCTTTGCGAATTGAAGATTCTAGCGACTCAGGCGTAGATAGCATCCCTCCAGAAAAAGCAAACTTAAAATACAAACATATTATCGGGAGGCGCCAACTGGTTGTTAAATTGCAGCGTCTGGAGAAAGAACAATGTTTCAAAAACCAACATCCTTTTCAAGAGCTATCTAAATTAAATCGGATAGACATCGCGTCTGATGAACAGAACACATTAAATGTACAATTGATCGAGGCACGACGCACACCCGTGAAAATAGACCAAAATAAAGAGATTACCGCAAAGATTAACAAATACTACAGACATAATAACGACTGTCAAATGACTGAACTAAACACGCGTTTTTGTGTTCTTTGCACAGCCAAACCAGCTGATTTAACAAACCATTATATACGGAAGCACAAAACCGAATCATACGTGTCCCGTCTGACGTGGACTCAGTTAGATGACTTAGCCGTACAAACGAATTTTGCAGAACTTCAAGGGTCTGGAAATCAACGTTTGGCTCGTTTCAAAGTGACCTGCCCTTTTTGTGAAGATATTTTAATTCAACCGTTTATGACTCTATATGACCATTATTCCAAGCACACTGGGGAATATGCCTACATGTGCACCCATTGTTCATTCACCAAACCGTTTCGAGCCGACATTTTGTCCCATCAACAGAACTCAAAGAACTGTCGTAGAGCAACCGTAAAGACAATGTATCGGTACCCACCAAACACAATGGTGATTTACTTGTATTACTGTTCAATTTGTAATTATGTACAACTGAATAAAGCCAATGTGCTGAAACATCTACGAGAACAGCATAGCCCACGCGAAGCGATTGAAAGCAATATTAATAACTGCATTTTAGCAGCCATACAAATAGCAACACCTATGCAGGCTTATGAAAGTTCTTCAAACTTAACAAACATGAAATTAAGATCAAATGCACAGAATATTCATGATGGACCGCGGGAAAACTCAAACAGCTTAGAAGAAATAGCAGACAAGGCGGACGAAGGCATTGCTGTATGCAATGAGCCATGTGCTGAGGAGACTGAAATGGTAGATGACATAAGACAATTGAAGTTTTTTCAAAATCAAGTGGCACAGGATCCGGTTTCAATTACTGAAATTCACTGCCCTATAAATGCGAATGGATCAATTGCGGGAATGTCAAATACTTTAGTGGGACAACAGCCAGAGCATATTTTAAAGCATTTGAAATGCGAAGAGATGGACGTTTTTGAGATGGATATGACACCACTAACGCAATTTTCTGAATCTGTAAGACATCCGGAATCTGCACTCATATTGAATGAATCTCCGCTTACATACCGTTCCTTTCCCGCAAGTGTTACTTACTTCGGTTTGTACAACTGTATTGCCGAGGATTGTTACTTTTCGACTAACTATGCTGATGAAATGGTTTCTCATCTGGAAGATCATGCTAATAGCGAATGTCCTCCACTTGAATATATTCAATGTGCCTATTGCGTTTTACGTTTGGGCGAATGTAATACAGCGCAAGAGTTGATCAAGCACATTCAACTCCAACATGAATATAATATTTATCAATGCTCTCTGTATTCTTATCGAAGCTGTGATGCTTCAAATGTTTCTATTCATCAGCACTTAATGCATCCATATACACCAAAAGATTGCTGCATATATATGTGCGCTAACCAAGCAATTACAGTTGAGCAAAAAAAATCGTATTTGACAACAATGAAAGACAAAAACGTACAAAAAATTGCATGTCCTTGTAAGTTTTACATAAACAAGAGCTACTTTTTAATAGGTTATAATTATAGCTTTTATTTCCATTAAAAAAAGATTGTTCAGCCGAGTTCTTCGCAACATATCATTTACAGAAGCACATGGAACTTGTGCATAAAATGACTAGCTTCAATTTGGACCTCTTGAAGTCTTATTCTTGCATTTATTGTCCAACAAGTGACCGAGATCAAGAGAGTATTAGAATCCATTTAGCGGTCCAACATCCCGGGGAACTCCCTTTCATATGCGATCACAAAATAGCCGAAAACGCCAAGGTAAACAGGATCCCAAAAAAGGTATAATAAAATCAATGTGTGCGTTCTTCTTATTTTGTTTTTAGATGGATTGCCTGCAATCCTTGAAGCTAGTGAACATGGCTGACGCAGTACCTCCACATTTACTGAAAGATGTGAGCGGTTACAAAAGTACTGATAACGCTTTAAAGCGAAGGGAGGTGTCACAACCGGACATTAAACCAGATATAATGGTTTTGAATGAAGAAACTGCTAAAGTACGGTTACGTAAATTGACGGAATCCACGGGAGTTCCGCCAGAAAATTTGTTTCGTTGCCCCGAATCAACATGTGGTGGATTCTTTTCTTTATATGAATTATGGTTACGTCATATGAAAGGACGTCATTGCTGTCTAATTTGTTTTTGCCCTCACTGTCCACGAGCCAAGAGAATTCAGACCGAGAAATGTTAGGGTTAACGGACTTTGAAAGTCATTTTGAAGTACATCGGGGTCATACCTATATTTGTTTTCATTGCCTTGATACTTTTAAATATGAGAAGGATTTGAGAAACCATGCCGAAATCGTTCATCAGTTAAGCAAAATACGTTTGGAACAAATTCGTTGTAATATCAGTTATGCGTACAATGTATTAATCAACTCCGAACTTTACACAGAACGTTTTACATTTTTATCAGAATTATTGAAATTACTTGAAAAGAAATTAAAGGAATTGGAAGAGAAACATTTAAATGAACTGCGGCATCGGTGGCTTGTACCAAGTACAACTGATTGGTTAGAAAATTTCCCTTCGCACCTGTATAGCCGTGAACTTACAAAGAAGTGCTTACAGGAGGGATGTAAATATTTTGCAACAAAAGATGAAACTCTCTTCGATCACGTACGCAGTCAGCATGAAATTATTGGCCATTCTTTCTTATGTAATCAATGTCCGTTCCAACTCGCAAATTGTGACTCTTGGGAACCTATATTCGAACATTTAAAAGATCACTGCTTGTCTAACCTTCACATATGTTGCGTTTGTTCCTTCCACCATCGTTGTCGTAGCTCGCTTATGCGACATATACGACAAGAACATGATGCACGAGATGCACCTTTTGTACAGATAACGAAAAAGGGCGCATCTGTGTTTGTTGAATTGGCCATAGTTTTTGCAAATGGAGAACTTAGTTTTTCTACCATGCGTGATTGCTTTTGCTGTGAAGAACGCAGTATGAAAGCAGATGTTTTAGCATTGCATCTGAAGCACTATCATAAGTTGAGGTTAAACTATTACTGTGAACTCTGTTATATACGTTTAGA